TAGTATAAGGTACCTATATATATATATATATATATATATATATATATATATATATATATATATATATGCGTATTCGTGTGCTTGCGTGTGTGTGTGTTTGTGTGTATGGATATGTGTGTACACACGCGCGCCTGTGTATACATATGAACACACAATTGGTGTTTATTGTGAACGTTGACTCGAAAGGTAAGGTACACCGTGAGAGCGTAAGAAATGGCAGTATGTAGAAAGCTCTGAAGCGTTACGCTGCATCACATACAAGGGTATATGTACACACACGCTGTAGACCATTTTCAGCCTTTAAACTGTGAAACTGTGATTTTAAGTTTTGCACGTGCGCGACGTGCAGTGAATGTACGCACATAGCCCCCCGTAAGTAAAATTCCGTTACATACCTGTGTTACATTCTTAGGTGTTATTGTCAGTGGCGGCCGAGGAGAATTCTTCATAGACTGTGGTTGTGATTCGGAGTGCTGTGACATACTGTCCACCTGCAGTATCCACAAGGATCTCGGCCAGTCTTTGTCTTGTATATAATGTCAGTAGAGATAATAGATATGACAAAGCGTGTCTGATTGTTCCTTTGCAAAATATTGAAAATCCAGTACATATGTACTTTATATTATTGTTGTATGTGAATATGTACCCCGGTTTGTCGCAGAATGATACTTCACCATAAATATTTATCCTTCGTTTATTAAGGTGCATATATTATGTGTAAAAGTACATACGCTGTATGTATTTAAAAATACTGTACGGTGTACAGAGTATACCCTTTATACATAAAAACAGTGGGTCCTCGCTAGTTGTCAACGACCGTTCTAAAACCGAAAGTTGACACCTATCAAGTGGACAAACTTTGCAGCCATTTGATTGGCCCACAGGTTTTCGGCCTATCCGACCATATGATACATGCTCATGACCCTCAGACCCCAGTATGCCACCTCTAAAATACATTTGGTATACAAAACTATCATAACTGAGATTCTTCTTTTCCATATCTATTTAACTCTACGAACTTCCTTTTACCTGTGCTAGACATCGTGATAGTTACGCGTTTGCCATGGTGTATGTGTATACAACTGTGATATTTATTATTATTCTGTACGTACTTGTAGTAGTATTTACACCGAGAAACGTGTGTCGTTATGGTAGCGTGGCCCATAATTCTATATATGAGAAATGATTGGTTTTATATGTTCTTCAGTCCTTCAATACCGATAGGGATATACTGTCAGCGGTAGAGCCAATGTATGAGCCGCTAATAGTACTGAAAAAAATATATTGACCAATGCGAAAATGAACGTTGACATTTATCGAAATGGACAACTAAAAGGTTGACAACTAGCGAGGACCCACTGTACATAATATAAAACAATAAAGCACGGCTAGAGCGTCGCAGAGACCAAAAGCTATTCCACTAAGAGGTTAGCTAATAACTGTGAATATATCCGCACAGGGTGAGCTGAGGGTGAGATACTGAGATTTCTTGACGGGCCTTTTCTCCCTCACTTTCACTCAACACACGCACATCCATACGTACTAATGTTCAGTCACACACGCTCACACATAAACACACTCACTCGGACGGGGGGGGGGGG